TGCAAAAATGCTGCAATCGCCGCAGACTGCGCGACTTATGGACGGCGCGGCACACGTTCCGAGGGCTTTCGTGTCATAAATGGCATAAATATTCCCCGTTGACCGGGCAACCTAAATATTTTTGCGTTGTTGCCGCTGCTGCTGCTGTCATTGATTATTTGGCATAAGAGAAAAATTATAACAATGTGTGGACTTTCACTTTTTGGCGATGGATTTTTATTGTTGTCTGTTACGGGGGGCTCTTGAAAAATGAAATTAAATCGTTTTTCATTTTTATTCGCTGCTCTTTGGCTCTTTGGATTGGGTTATTGATTAACATTGAACATTCAGGAGGTCCGGCAGCTGTTTCGTGAGTATTCAACAAGGTTCTTTATTAGCTTTCTTATAAGGCTTGGCAGATTCAGCAACCGATTCATTAATGTGTCAAGACTTGTGGCAGACAAATACGCGGGATATACTTGTAAGGATGAATAACATCTGCATATTGTTGGTTGTTGTTTTTTGTTCCCAACAAGTTTATAATTAACAGTTTAATTCAAATACCACTTGAGTTTTATTCATTTACACTAGATGGTAAGTTCTTCAGTCTTCTAGATCATCTTCTTTACACCTAGTTCTTCGAATCAATGCGTTTGCTATATTTGTTAAACTCTTTCAGATAGATTGAAGTCATTCATGGTTACAATTTTATAATGAATTTCTCCGAAGATGCTAATATATTAATAAGCATTTAAGTTATTAGTGTGGACTAGAAAATGTAATTAAAACTCATGATTTAAAGAGTTTTCGATCATTTCACAACTTTTATTCTGAAGACACCTCATAAATTTCCCCATTTGTGATCGTCAAATAATCTTTCGTCAATTATCTTTCTTTTATATTCGCGAAGTACTTATCAACGTAAGATAATTGATCAGTATTTTGACTTTGTAAAGTAAGCTCCGATAGGACAGTGGGAGCTATAATCGTGAACAATCAATTCTATTGAGAAAAGCTGTATTTCGAGTGTCTTTCATATGCAAATTCAATTATTTTTAAAGGTAATAGTCTTACGAAGTCAAATCAAGCAAATATGGGGAGTGATGGTTAGTACTTTTTGCTTCCTTCCAGAATCGAATTGAAAACACCACGTTCTAACAAAAGTCATAATATTCTTTCTTTATGATTTCTTTCAAAATGTTGAATGCTGAGAAATTGCAGACCCAATTGTTGAGTTGAAATGCGACGATTCGATGATATTTAATTCCATTTGCATTAATTTTAACGAAGATTTGAGCTGATTTTTGATAAATTCAAGCATTTTTTTCACTGTATCTTTGGTAATCGTCAAGTTTGTTTTCGATAGCACAAACAGTACTACTTTGTGTGCGATAAATCGGCGTGCATCCATTCGATTGTCAAGTAATTTTGACGGAAAAATATCAAAATGTTGTTTGAAGAATTAGTATTGCTGATGTTATGCTCTGTAATAATGTTGTCTTTAGATTATTCTGCTTTCTCTATTTGTATTTATAAAGCTTTTGCAAATCTATTTTCGTATTCGTTTTATTTGGTTTTTCTATTTTAATTAAACGCCAAAAAAATATTTCTATTTCATTGTTTTCCTTAAATTGTATTCGTTTCTGATGACATTTTGCGCTTAATCTGAATTTTCGTTTATTATATAACCGGTTTTCCTTTATGTTGTTTTATAAATTTCGTTGAGAGAAAAAAGGTGAAATTAAATGTTGGTGTCTGCCAAAATATAGCCATACTTTACATTGTTATGGTTCGATTAAATCGCTTTATTTATATACTATACATATATTGTACGTACATCGGCTGAAAAGTAATTTGAAAATAAAAAATGCGCTTGAATGTTGATGGTTTTTTTTTCGATTTTATTAATTTAACCATTTATTGTGCCTAATTTAGTTTCGCACATTTTGTGAATCTAAAAAATGTCAGAAACTGTTTATTTAGTTTTGCGCGTAATTAGTTTTCTATGCTAAATTGGAACATTTTGAGTTGCTCGTAGTAGTAATTTTTGTTGTTGTTGCTATCATGTTTGCTTTCGCATTTTGCTCGCTATTTATTTGCCACGATTTTGCATATGATGATGAATTTTTAATTATAGTGTCTAATTATTATTGAAATGTGCGTTTTATGAATAAATATTTAAAATACATATTGCAGGTTCTGTTGTTCATTCTGTTAGCCATAAAACTAGCTACCACAAACAATTTAATTACAAAATAATAATAAAATCTATTTAATTAACTCTTTTGTACATAGCAATGACTTAAATGACTAGTCTTTGGTTGTATGTTGTTGTTGTTGTTGCTGTTGTTGCTGTTTTTGTTGGCTGCAACGCAATTGTTGTAAAATGATGAAAAACTCGCTGCTAATAAATAAAAAAGCACACTGCATCATGCATTAAGTAATATTTATACACGAACTCTGCGTTTGCTTTCCAAGGGAATGTTTGTTGTTGCTGCCTTTTATGCTTATGGTTACAACTACATATACGTACGTATGTATGTATTTGTTGCATATATTTAAGTATGTATGTAGGTATGTATGTATGTATATGTTTATAAAAAGAGTAGGAGAAACTTTGTTGCATGCTCTGCTGTTAATTGTTAATTGGAGCAAATTGTTAAATATTTACAGTCTATTTACATATGCGCATTTTTATGCTCTTTGCGGAGTTAATTTATTTTTGAAATTTTATTTTATTATGTTTTTTGATTGTGTTTAAGTACTTTTGCCTTTTTTTTTTACTTGATCGTATTTTAAGTTAAAGTGATATGCACATTACAATTTGTTATTAGCAATTAAATACTCCGTAGTACATAGTTAACATAAATGGGCCACGCTTGAGCTCATTAATTTTGCACTTCCGTGCGCAACACTCTGTTTTGCATAAATTGATTAATGTTTTTTGTGTGACTTGCTTTTTTGCACAATCTGTATTTAATCGTTGATGTTGAAACTTGGTGAGGCCATTTCTATTAACGATTTATACACTTCTCACCCACCTGGCAAATTTTAATTGGACTTGTGTTGTTTTCGAATGTACCTTATTTATTTATTTTTTTTTTTTTGCATCTGCTATTTACCTTTTAGTGGAAAGACATCCGATTTTGATGAGGTTTCTAAGGTGGTTTTCAGAACTAGAACAAATCTAGAAACATTTGGGATTGGAATGCTCTATTTTTTTTTTTTATGTCAAGTTTAAAAGATTTATATGTTGAAGAATGCTTTGTAAAAGCAAAGTTCGATTTTGCGGATCCACTCCATAGCTTCAGCTTCAGACTTTCATCTTTTAAGATGAACCACCATTCCAGAAGCACATACTAATTATTATATTTTTTTTTATACAAAATCATCGCTAGAATTGTGTTAAATTAGTCCACTTATTGTTTGAGTGATTATGTTTCAATGATGCTGCTATTTTGTTGGCTTAGAAATTATTAAAAACAAAACCAAAATAAAAGCCATCAGGTTCCATAATCAGAGTACCAAGCAATTGAATTGATTGCGAAAAAGTGTTAATAATTAGAATTTAACTTTCTGACTTGCAATCTTTATATTTGAAAACCTTTCTTGAAGAACGGTTAGTATCTGCGTTACTTTTGGATAGTCTTGCTTTGTAAGCATCAATAACAATCGAATAACTGTCAAGTAAATTTGGTAACGATGTGGTTGACAGAAGAAACAGATAGAAGAATTGTTGCATGTGAAGACTGAAGACATCTATACTCGAAATAAGCTGTTTTAAGTTAAAATAATCAACTGAACGTTCAATCTTAAAGAATTGGCTTGTTTGAATGCTTGTTTGTTGTTTGTTGTGATTAGGGATCGGTAAACATGTAGACACATTTTCCAACATTAAAAAAAGTCAATCGAACTCTTTTTTCAATATTTTCGGTACCAGAAAATTTCGCCAGGCGGTTAATTGGGAGCGTATAAATTATATTTAAATTTAATCATTTGGGTACGTTACGAGCACGTTAATTGAGCCTACCTAAAGAGTTGGAACGGAACTGAGCCAAAACCATTGTCTGGCATTTGTATGTACAATTCTCTTTATAGTTTTTGTTTGTTGTGGATATCTAAACTATTTGCTTTTGTAATTATAAAACAAGAGGAATGATGTGAAAAGCCACAAAGTTTCGACTGCCACTTGCAGTCGACAACATGCGGGACAAAAAGGCCCACAGCCCACAGCATAGTCATGATGTCTACACACATGTTTACATGTACAAATAAATGGGTGGGTCCTAACGGGTTAAACCAAAAATTTTCTATTTATACGAAAAACACTCGAACAACAACAACAATAGCAGCAACAGCAGCAGCAGCATCAGTAGTGGCAGCAACAAATACAATGGCAATGACTTAAACGTGGGCATCATCAGTGGCTGAAACAAAAAGCACGCCCTTTATTTGCTTTAATCTGACAAAATCCCTGTACTAATGCCAAACGGCAATAAAGGATAAAACGTGCACAGCATGTTAAGAGCCAGAGCCAGCACTGCCACATAACCCGAAACAGTCTACCCCCGTAGACCCCCTCGGGCCGGTTGGTGAGCTTTTCGTTAGCTTTTTCGGTTCTTGGCTGCTTCGATAGTTTGCCCATTTTGTGGCAACCGGCGCACGGAAGTGACACTAAATTCGTTTTGGGTTTTGCTCCCCAATTGCTGTTGTTGTTGCTGCTGTTGTTGTTGCTGTTGTTGCTGTTGCTGTGGCAAGTCTATTGGCGACATTTATAGACTGAGTCGCCGGCAAAATAAACTTCACAAAATTGTTACATGTAATCCTTTTTATGATCTGCGCCAGAACTTGTGCGCTGCATGCTAAGCAGGAGCATAGTCGGGGGACTCTCATTGCCAGATCCAGTGGCTGCTCAAGCTTTGTACGCTCTTCGAGCGTCGTCGCGTCCAAGCGTAGGTATCGGCTGCTGACGTCATTGTCGCTCCATCGTCACCGGCACGACCGTCAGGATGGGCCCGCACTCAGCTGGCTACCACCATGGTGGTGGGCTGGGGCCAATGGCAGCTATCGCTGGAGCTTGGCTGCACTGGTGGCGGCGGCGGCGGTGGCAACATGGGCTGCTGGTGGTGATGATGATGGTGATGGCTGTTAAGCATCAGCGATGGCGACGAGGTGACCGAGGACATGGAGCTGCTGTGCTGTCGTTGATGTTGCAGCTGCAGCTGCAGTTGCAGTTGAAGCTCTTGGGGCTGATGATACTCGTGCTCCTCTTCCTCGTAGGCATCGTTGCAGTCATGCGGGTAGAGCGACGGTCGCTGCGGCTGTTGTTGTTGCTGCTGGACTGGATGCTGATGATGATGATGGTGTTGATATGGATGGAAGTATTGTGGCTGTTGTTGTGGCTGCTGTTGTTGTTGTTGCTGCTGCTGTTGTTGTTGGCTGGGCGTTGTGCCGACTGTTGCAGCTCCAGCTGCAGCAGCAGCTACGATTGTGGGCGCCGGCGGCGCCGTAGCCATCATTGTGGACATGGCCGTCAGCGAGGATGAGGCCGAGAGCGTGGGCTGTGGCAGGCCGCGTATGCTGTCCGCAGGATGTGCGGTATAAATGTTGCTGCGTCTCAGATGATTGTTGTTGTTGTGGTGGCCGCTATTTCCCGCAATGCCGCCACCAACACCGCTGCCTGCAACGCCCAGACTGCTGCCATGGGGGCGTTTGTTGCGTGACCACCACTGTACATGCGTGTCTGCATTATAGAATGGAACGGTGGGGGGGGGGGAAAGAAGAAGATATATAGAATGTCAAGTTGCACAAATGCGAGACTGTATGTCCATCAGTCCGTTAGTCTACGCGTGTATGTGTGTGTGTGTGTGTTAGTGTGTTTAGTTGATTGTTGTTCGTACTCACCATTGCGATTATTCGACGACTTTTTGCGCCGGCAACGCACGACAGCAATCATTATGATTGCTCCGAACAGCGCTGACAGCACGGAAACAATGATCAGCGTTAGTGGCCAGCCCAGCTCAGTGGCTTTTTCTGTAATGGGATTAGAGCGAGATGGAGGGAAAGGATTTATTACAGTAATAGTCGAAGAATAGTAGTCGCATTTATTCGTTAAACTAAGTTATTTAGGAACCAATTTGTTCGTTTTTTATTTTTTCATAAAATGAAGCAATGTGAAAAATGTTCACTATCTGGGATTTGGGATCGGATTTGGGATTAGGGTTCTATGTTAAATTGGGAGAGGGGGATAGTGATTTGTATCTATTTTCGATTAGCCAGAGCTCGTGAATTTTAAGGATCCATGAATGAGGAAGCATAGATAGAGATCTGTATCTATTTTCGATTAACCAGAGCTTTGAGCCAAGCTTATTCTCGGTACAGGTCGTAGGACATTGCCCATTGTGTCGGATATGGGGAAAGGGATAAGAGTGAGTTATAACAAAATAGCTTTATGTATTGTTAGAGCTTCTGTTTGGGACTACCCTATTTATTATCATCAGCTCTTCTTTACATAAACCAATATTATTAATATTAAAAAAATAAAATCATACTTGAGGGGTACTGTGGATCCCTTCTATAAAAGCAAATACTAGCTCAATTCGTTTGCTTGAGAAAAATATATGTATTTCTTATCAGTAAGTCTGTCCGTCTGTATGAACGCATTTATCTCAAATAGCATTAGAGCTTGAAGTAAATAGTATTTAAAACTTTAAGCAAGGCAAGTTTGTGTTTTATTTCTCCTAAGCACAGGGCTTGCATGTTTTTGGAAGTTGGTCGAGAAAAACTCTTGCAGATTGGTTATGTATTTCCCTGCATTTCAAGTGTTTGCCTTAAGAGCTTTACAGTGTTGTTTTCCACTTACCTATCGTGCCCTCGAATATGAATGTGCTCTTGGTGGGCATGGCCCAGGAGCATAAATCACATGTCGTTAGGCCATCGGTCAGGACCGGCTCGTCGACAAAGAAGGGCGGTCGTGGGGGCGGTGGCACAAATCGTCCATTCCACAGGCCATGCTCGCTGGCATCAAAGGCCAATGGCGAGCCATACAAATCGTCGGCATCGTCAAAGATGTCGAATGTCACATCGCGAAAGCTGCTCAAATCTTCCGCCGAGCTGGCAACCAAACTCTCGATGCGGGGTGGACTGAATGTGGGGAAGCCGGATGTGGATGCAGATCCGGATCCGGATGAAGATGCAGATGCAGATGCGGAGGCAGTGGCAGTAGCAGTGGATGGGGCGCTTGAGTCGAAATCGACTGCTTGATTTACAACATAGCTTAGCCGTGCATCGTTAGCAGTCGCGTAAGTCTCGGCCGCCGATGCTGCTGCTGCTATGTTATCTGTGGGCAGGAAGTTGGTGAGCTCCAGGGTCGTCCTTGCGGCCGCCTGCAGTCGCGTGTGCAGCGGACTGAGGAGCGAAGCAGTCAAGTTGGCCACTGCAGCTGTCGCTGTGCTGGCAATTGATGGCATTTTGTCTCTGAGTCTGTTGGGGGGGAGAGGGGAGAGATGGGGTAGCTGGTAGCTAGTAGCTAGGGTTTGGGGCTTGTTCGCGCACTTGTCTGTGTGTGTGCGGCAATCCTTTGCCGGGCACAGACTAACGTTCTCAGTTCTCGCTTCGTTTACTGCTGCCGCTCCTGCTGCTGGTTATCTTCGTCTCTGTGCTGTGCCTACTGCAGCTCCGTGCGCATTTTTCCTGGGACTGCGCCAGCTCCACAGCTTCGGCGTCAATTTGCTGTAAGAGAGGAAAGAGAGAGAGAGAGAGTGGGGGGAGTTAGACGACTGATTCTATATTTCATTTGTCCCTTAAAGTTGGGGAGTCCTTGCCTAATTGCGCTGTCACAAAGCTCTGACCATTTTTCATTTCAACTGTTAAGGAAACTCGTTTCATTTCGCAGCTTTATTAAAAATTGGCACGTGTGCCAACAACTAACAATCCGTGCTATCTCGTCTCTTCTCTTTTTTCTTCTAATCCCTCTTTTTGCCCCTTCCAGCCCCATACCTAGCCACGTATCACATGCCAAATCCACATCAGCAATCGTTTTTCAATGACTGATTCATACCTACTCGTATTTCCAATTTGTTTTCCCCTCCCGCCTAGTGGCCCAACGTATCCGTATCTCATAGAAACCGTTTCATTGTTGCTGTTTCCCTGCAACTGTTGTTGTATCTCTTCAGCTGGAAATTGAATTTTTGAGTAGCATTTCAGACATTTTGGGGTTCTTTACGTTCGGTAGCCATATCGAGCTCCAACAACTACTTCTACATCGCACTTCGAACGTTGCTAATGCGAATTGACAGCTTGACAGTTTGATATCAGTCTGGAAGTCAGCTTTAGTTACAGTTACTGCGCTTCAGTGTGCTTTCTAATAAATGTCGAAGCACTGCCATCAGCCCAGTCTTAACTCATAGACCAGTCGGGTTGGCGGAATGGTATGGTGGGTAAGAGGCAGGACTCTCTGTGCGGTGCTGTGCTGCACTTCGCCAAACAAACTCAATTCGCAGAACGTTGTGAAACAATAATCATGATAAATTAACGCCAATTTGCAAGCGCCAACTGCGGCATTTATTCAACACTCCGACCATGGGCAGTGGCTTAGCCGAAAAGGGGACCCGCAAGCGGTGCTTGACAAACTGGGAACGGAAATTAAATTTATACTTGTATAGACCCGTAGTAAGCAGCAGGTTAAGCAGATTGCATGCATCAAGATATGCAAATAAATGTCTTACATCAAAGGCCGCGTCGACACCAAAACATTTTTGAAAAATGCCACACTTCCTAAACTAATCAATCGAATGGCAAGCTATTTGTCAGGCGTATTTTTGGCAATGGAAGATGAAGAAGGTCGAATGTGGAGATTCTACATATTTCAAAAAACAGGTAGTTCGAATTTGAATTTTCACTGTGACGGATTGTGACATTCAATTGTACGCTATTTTTGTCAATGACAAAAAGAAAATATATTTACAATTCTATGTTCGTAATGTTTATAAAAGCTTGTAAATGGAAGAGTATTATGTGTTTGGCTGAACTGAAGCTACCTATTTAATTGCTTCTTAAAAAAGAAAATGGAAGCTTCTAAATTCAAGAAGATTGCACATAAAACCACGATAAGACTGCCAAATATTTTCTATCCAATGTTGTCATTAAGACTAAATTTTCAGTTTCTTCAATTTAAACCAGTATGAATTCAACAATAAAATATTTCTTTAAGAAATTTTGATCAAAACTTGTAAAATGAGCATGCACCTGTACATGTTAATTTGTTTGTAAATATATTTTTTTATTTCGACATATTCCTGTAATCCTTGCGATGCCGTCATTCGGCCTTCCGTCATTAAGAACACATAAATCAATTCAGACTAAAATTTAAAAATGAGGTGCAATTGTTTGGGATTCAGGTTGGTAACACCCTCTACGACACATTTTATGTTAATACTCAAGGTCAAGGGACCTCGCGCTTTACAGTTTTAAAGCTAGCCAATCTTTTATTTGCATTTCTACACGCAGACAGGCTTTTAGTTCAAGCAATATATTTTAAAAGCTATCGTATGACGTTATTAGATTCAAAACATGATTTGGTATTACTGATACTTACGATAGGAAAGTGTGGGCTTCCTAACCCTATAACCCCTCAAAATTGTCGAAATGTTTAAACATAGTTAATTTACCTTCAACTTAATTTTTTTTTTGGGTCTATCTATATATAATACTTTTGTAAAATTCACAATCCTAGTTTTTTTGTGGTCGGATTACGGAGTCATAAGAGCGAAACAAATTTTGAATAAACAATGTATGATCATTTTATGCTTATAACTTTTTGATTAAATAAGGAATAACGACTTAAAAGATATGATATTAAGATGCAGTAATTAACATTTTCAACTTTTCATACTCCATACTCCATATTAAATCGCACTTTCCAGCATATATTCGTAAAATCTCTTGCATACACAAGTATAAAGTATTTTTTAATTTTCAAATAAAATGTTTGAATTTTTCCAATGGACTATACAGGACCTATCGTTCTCATTTAAATGGCCGCCACTGTTTAGTCATGTGCCAATTGCCAACGATGAGTTAATGTGATGAGTGGTGGGGGAGGTGGTGGCGGATGGCGGATGGTGGATGGTGGATGGCATAAGCCGCAGGCTCTTGGCACGTTTCTGGCATTAGCAGCAGTCCGGGCGGCGATGTCAGCGCTGGCTGCAAGTTGCAACAAACTTCAGGTGAGGTCTTGAAATGGCCGACAACGTGCCACCGAATAAACTACCGTTGAAGCCAAATTGCGTGCCCTACTGCCGAGATGCACTTGCCACGCGAACAGCACCCGTAGCTGAGTTCCAACTTCCTTCCACCCCCCCTACCCCCCTCTCCATCAAACTCCTCACATACCTTTATGCATATGCAGTTTCAAGACTGTTTGAGTGTGTATTGGTGTGTGACTGCACAGATAGAAAGTTTTTAATGTGGCCTAACAGTTAGATAATAATAATATTTTTCGCCAATGGCTTAAACTACTCATACAACAACAAAAGCAGCAGCAGCAGCAGCAAGCAGCAAGCACAACAACAATAACAACAACGACTGCAGGCGAAACTTGCATGCAAAAAGTGAGTTGATAGCCGGGGGCGGAGCGGAGCGGCGCAGAGAGACGTGGCAGAGAGCGCGGAGTAAACGATATTTAGTCATTCTCGAAAATGGGAAAACGTGATGCGCATAAATTGACGTCGCTGCCAAAGAGTGTTCGCGTACGCTCTCTCTCTCTCCCTCTCAGGCTCTCGAATGCGCATCTTTTTGTTCGAGTAGCGCGAATGAATGAAGGAATGAATGAAGCATCTAACCGGGAGCAGAGTGGAGAGTAGCGAGTGGAGAGAGGGGAGTAGGAGTGCTTGGGCTACCTTTTTTTGTGTGTGTTATCTGTGGGTGGCGGTAATTCTTCTTTCTCGCTTTGCATTTTTTATGTCTCTTGTATGTGTGTGTGTGTGTGTGTGGCTTGTGCTATTAATAAATTTATTTCGCTGCTTGTGCTTGCCTTTAAATAAATTGTGGAGTCACGTGAGTTGTGTTTGATTTGCTTTTGATGGCTTTGAAGACAAAAACGTGTTCGTTCGTCAGCAACAGTAGTGGCGGCAGCAGCAACAGCGACAGCTATCTGTCCATCTGTCTGTTTGGCTGTCCGTTATTGTTGTTGGTGTTGTTGTTGTTGTCAGTTACCAGCTGTGGCTAAATGTGTGGGCGGTTCATTCTGCAAAGGCCTGCCTCTGCGTCGTTTTTTTTTCTCTTCTTGCAAACCTCAAGTGCCTTTCAATCGAATATTCGTGTGTTGCGTCGTGCTGCGTGAGCTCAACGCCCACCCACTGGCATGCATCATCAAACAATGTAGCAGCTATAACTGTACAATGGCAAAAACAACAACAACAACAAAAACAGCAACAACAATGACAGCAAAAGCAATTACACATGTCGTACAATGGCGGAACGTCACGCGTTTAAATATTTGTATTTATATATACATATGTATGTATATAAAATTAGTTTTTTGTGTTTGCTCACGCACGCATGCACATCACCACCCACACATTCACACAATCGCAGATTCACAGACTCGCACACCACCCACACAAGCGCCCCACCAACCACTCACATTTTTAATTAGTGCGAATGTTGAACATTATTTTCGTTTACATTCCGCATATTGCTCGCATTTTTGTTTGCCTTGTGGAGCGCACAAAATGTAAATACACACACGAACACGAACACAACCGCTCGCCATATCGAAATTTAATATGAAATGAAGCCAAACACACTTCCTGCCTCCCAAACAACCACCCACACACAACCATACACACACACACACACACACAGAAACAATACTAGTTGTGTTCATAACTATGCTAACATGGCTAACAGCATAAACATTTCCCGAAAATGTTTATTATGAGCGCCGCTGCAACTTTTTAACCGAACACGAAATGTGCTCGCCCTCGCAAATGTGCTCCAATGAGTGGTAATTGCCAAAAATGTGAAAATGAATGCCCATCGGGAGTTGTGCTTGTAACTGTGGAAGGCTCTTATCAAAGTTTAATTCAACATATGCCTGAAATAATATATTAAATTGTGGCTGTGACTTGCATTCCCCAATCAACCATATGCATTTTAATTGAATTTGATGTCAGCTCAAGTGTGCCGGGGCTTGTTGCCATCAATCAATTAGTCAATCAGTCAATTAAATCGGCTAAGCCGAACCTTGAAAGTGTTTCTTCATCTGTATCGAGCAGCTTTAAAGACTGTTTTCTAACGCTAGAAATAAATTGTGAGAATTGTAGAGCTTCAACAATTGTCATTTATACACAATAAAGCAATTATTGCGAAAGAAAATGAAAAAAAAAAACACATTTATATTTTAAAAAAAAATGTATATTATTTAATTGAAAATATCAAAGGTAACTCTTTTCAACAGCAACACAAA